ATTAGAATCTAATTCTGTTAATCACTTTTGAGGTTTTGTTTTTCTACCTGTAAATTGGACTAGATCCTGAATTCTTCTAGTTTCCTCAAATACTTGGCTACAACTCCCCAAGTAAGGTTTTCAATTTTTCTCTCATTTCTGACTTGAAATCACTGAGAACTAAAGCTGTTGTTTTCTTGAAAATTATGAACTGGAACTGAACAACCTGATATACACTTAAGAGAGCTCACATTTAGATAGTCTTTGTACCTGTTGCTTTGAAAGTCATTCAGAAAGTTTACCTGAATTCCAGATAACATCACTGGAGACATTTCAACCTGCAAAAAATGCTTAGAGCCTAACATCTAGGAATCTCAGCTGGTGATTCTCAGGACTCAGACACTGGGTTTATATTCTGCTCCAACCATCAATCTCTTTTTTTCTTTGTCTCCATAGAAATGCTTCTTATTAAATACCTGGTTGCTTATATTCTGTAGGCCTAACTTTCAGTACCCACCTATATCACCGCCTCCTGAAATTAGTAACTGAACCTACCTATTGTTAGGATTAAGAGATTGGTTCAATGAGATGTCAAGCAGTCTATCAACTCTGGACTGTGAAAATTCTAGAGAAAGTTTCAAAGGCAAGACTGCAGGGGACCAAGATGTGCCGCCCTAAAATGTCTCTGGCATGCAGATTAGTTCAAGCTGCAAAATGATCAGGGCCCACAAGACCCAGGAAGAAATTCTGCCCTTCCCCCCAACTGCTTAAAAATAATTTAGATAGAGGACTGTTCCTGGAACAATGCTATCACCAGAGATCCTGTAAAATACAGGTTGGGCGAGGGGGAGATTAGAGATTAGAGATTTCTGTCCCGTTGTCTCCACAACCCCCAGCAAACATTTACTTTTCATTTTCATGTCAATTACTTTCCTCCCTTTGAAGTCCTAAACTTCCGTACCAACATTCTTTTTTGTTTTTAGCTTCAGATGGTATTTAAGGTGAGGGTTTTGGCCATTTGGGCGTATACTCAATTTTTCTGGGTCTAAGTATACATGTTTCTTTTCTTTTTAATCTGTCTCATGTCAATTTGGGCTTCCCAGGTGACACTAATGGTAAAGAACCCGCCTGCTAATGCAGGAGATATAAGAGACATGGGTTTGATCCCTGGGTCAGGAAGATCCCCTGGAGGAGGGCATGGCAATCCACTCCAGTATTCTTGCCTGGAGAATCCCAGGGACAGAGGAGCCTGGAAGGCTACAGTTCTTGGAGTCGCAGAGTCGGACACAACTGAAGCGAATTAGTATGCAGCACGCATGTCAATTTAATTCTTAGACTAGCCAGAAGAACCTGGAAGGGTAGAGGAGAATTTCTTCCTTCCTAACACTCCCAAGGTTGATAAGACACTCATAACCTTTGGGGACCAGAGAAGGGCAAGAAGGCAACCCTGGCCAGTTAACAGAGGTGATGTATATAGTGCTTGGGGATAAGACGTTTGGGGCTGGAGAATATGAAACCTCAAAGGAAAATGAATTGAGAATAAGGGATTTAGAAGTTAGGAAGGACTGCTGAATCTTCTCATGTCAAGGGATTAATTTGCAAGAGATTTTCAAAACAACACACACAAGTATCTATCAAAGCATCTGGAAACTTTCTGAGGAGGAATCACAAAGCAACTCAGAGTTAAAAGTAATACCTACAGTGAAAAGGCCTTAACCTTTCAAATCACTCAAGAAAGAAGGATGAGAAATCTGAAGCCCTGGAAAACTAACTTCTTAGGAATCACAGTAGACAGACAGAAAACAAGATAAAAAGTTTTTTTTGTTGTTTTTGCTTGTGAAATGCATGCAAGGTACACTTTTCTCCTCAGTGGGAAAAAGAAGGAGCTTCTTTTGTACAAGGCATTCAGGAAGAGGGGGACTTGAATGAGAAGAAAAGATTCCAATTCAGATGCTGCATGTAACCCCAGCCCCAAAAGAGAGGAAGGAGGTCAGGCGCTGCCTAAGTGAAAGGTGGCCCAGTCCCCAAGAGAGAGGGGACAAACAAATCCTGAAGGAAAAACCACAGGGAGGAGGATGTACAAATGAGGTACCTTAGAACACCTCACATTCCTTCTGTTTCACTGGGACCACTTTGTTTATAACTAGGGACTCAGGCAGTAGCCACCAAATGTGGCTAGATGAAGAAAAACACAAGTTGCAGAAGTCACCTGTCAAAATGTATGTATGTACACTCACATGTGAGTGTGGAGAGATGCATTTTACTTAGAATTATAAGGATACCTGTCCACTGCTACCAGGGCTTTGGGGCAGAGAAGAGGGGTAAAGACAAGAGGAGCCTTTCCTGGTCAACTCTCTTTGCATACTGACTCTTTTACTTCGAGAAGATGGTCATTTACTTATAAAATAAGAAACGAAGAAAAGAGGGAAGGAAGGAAGACAAGAGAGAAAAATAACCAAGCCAATCACAAAAGGAAGGTACCAAAACCAAGTTTTAATCCCTCCCATTCCCGTTAACTCCCTACTCCCACTGATATGCTCGCTCTAGAGAAGGGAGAAAGGCTTTTCATTTAATTAAAATATAAAAGATTTTCTTTTTTTACTGCCTGGTGGCTAGGGCTATTCTGCTGACTTAGCAGTGAATAATCAGCTTTGACCTAAATAATAGAGTAACTCAAAGTGGCAGCTGCAGTTGCATAAGCTTGAGCCAAATCTGCAGTTTCTTCTCTCTCCCTCTCCTCCCCCCATCACTCCCTCCAGGCTCTGAGCAGGCAAGCCAGTTACAGCAGATTGTTTCTACCTCTTCAACCGCATCTGGTTATTCCTTCCATCATTTCTCATCTGATCTTTTCCAAAACTCTAGAGTGTCTTTGTGCAAGGAGCCACCCACGTAGCCTTAGTGAGTTTGGGGAATGCAAAGAAAGCAGTGGGGTCTGGCTGCCTGAGGAACTCTATTCTGAGGCCAAGGTTCTCTCTGGGGGAACAGACTGAACAGTCTCAGGGTTCTGGACTTCTAGATGAAGGGTAAGGGTGGCCTCTAGTCTGAGACACTTAAGCAGTATCAGCAGGAAAAAGGAAGCCATGTCTGTGTGTACAAGACGCTGACACAGCAGTGGCCAGCACTCTGTGGTCCCCCTTCCCACCCCCACTAACCTGTCTGATGGCAGAAACAGCTACTCTTCCCGCATTCCCACACCCCCTTCCCCCTCCTCTTACCTCCCGCAGCTCCAGATCCAGCCAGCAAGCAAGGACCAAATGACTATGCTTGTGACTATCCTCAGTGACTAAACAGGACCGCGAGGTGCCCCACACTGTGGTAAGAACACTCTTGTCTCAGGCAATCCTTGCCACAGCAACCTATAGCACATGCACGATTGCATCCCCATCTCACAGGAGGCAGCTGGTGACCTGGTCAGGCACTGGCTGCACTTAGAAAGTGGTGTGGAGATGCAGGCTCAGGCAGCATGGTTTGGGATCCCACATCCCTCTGCCCCCAAATTCATGAGCACAAGGAATATGCTCCAAACAAGTATGTTGACCTCACAATACCACTTGCCTAGATGTGGAGTCTATTCCAGGGCTGAACACCACTGCCAAAGAGGGCACACCTGCCAAGAAGACCACCACTCAGGCCCCACCCCAGCTCCAGGGTGGGTGAGTGAACCCCTCCTTCCCCTCCCCACCAGCAGGACAGAAGAAAGTATCAAGATCTGGGAAAGAGTGTGACCAGGATGGTCAATGCCTTTAGCTAAGTGACGTGTGTTGGAAGGTATGGGAAGACAGGGACAAAGCTGATTCCAGAAGAGGAACCTCTGAAATAGTCCAAATATTTACTTTAGAAATTAGGTTTTTTTTGGTTAAAAGATATATCCCAATCCATTGAGATCCCTGATGACCAGAGATTAAGTGTTGAGACTTCTAGAAATGCAGATTGCCAAGCTTCTGTAAAACCTCTCTAAGAAACTTCCCTGGTGGTTCAGTGGTTAAGACTCTGCGCTTCCAATGGAGGGGTCATAAGTTCAATCCCTGGTCGGGAAAGTTCTGCATACTGCGTAGCACAGCCAGAAAAACAAAATAGCCTCTCTAACCTACTGCAGCTCATAGGGACCTTTTCCCTTTCTCAGATTTTTTGCTGCAATTGAATTCCAATCATGGAATCTGCCTATATGACTTTTCTACCTACTTAGAAAACTCATGAAAGGTGGAGACCATGGGTGCAGCATTTGTTTTCTCCCAACTCACACCTTTACACTCTTCTTACTGAGAGGTTTAAGATGTGAGCTGGCAGGTGGAGGTAGAGGTGGAGAGGCCAGAAAAATCGTCCCACGAGTGGCAGGGAGCCTCCAGCGTGGTGCGTGTGCTGTAAAGAGAAGGAACAATGTTGGCTAATTCACTTTCCTGGCTCCACTTCCTTTTCTGCTCAAGGAAAATGTAGCACTGGCCCAGCTTACCTTATGGATTTGTTGTGAGGCTTGGATTAGATAATACATATGTAAGTGCTTCGTATACAAGTAAACCCTGCCAGTGAAAATTACACTTCTTCTGAACAGCTACTTAAGTTTCTTCTTTTTTTAAAAACCAGATAATCATATATGGAGGGCTTCCCAGGTGGTGCCAGTGGTAAAGAACCTGCCTGCCAATGCAGGAGACATAAGAAACACGGGTTTGACCCCTGGGTTGGGAAGATCCCCTGGAGGGCGGCATGGCCACCCGCTCCAGTATTCTTGCCTGGAGAATCACATGGACAGAGGAGCCTGGTGGGACTCGTAAAAAGTCGGACACGCTGAAGCGGCTTAGCATAGCACAATTATATGTGGGATCCATTTGTCCACAGCAGGCGTATTGGAAATTGAAAAGTAACAAGGCATAAAAATAAAAGGAGCAGAGGAAAATAAATACATAAATAAAAGGAGGAGAGGGAAAAAAGTAAATAACTAAAAGGAGAGGAAAGAAAGAGGGAGAGAAGGGAGAACCAGATCATGAGGAAGACACTGTCCTGAGCAAGGCCCAGTTGGTACTTACATAAGCAGAGGGCAGCGAGGAGGCGAAGGCCAGACTCTGGGGGGAGGCAGGTGGGGAAGAGCGGTTGCAGCACGTAGTTGGAGAAGGTGAGGGCGATGACAGCCTGGTTGGTGGGGTAGATCACCAGCACCGCGATCCACAGCCTCAGGAACCTGCGGGGGAACCAGATGGAACTTGAGCTAAGATAGGAATTAAGACCCCCGCGCGACCCCACCGCCAGGCATGGCAGGGATTCAGAAGCCATCAGGGAAGTCTGGGCAAGTCATCAAGCAGTGTTAAGAGAGGCAGGTGGGCTAAAGGGATGTGTTTCCTTGTTGTTTTCTGGGAGAAACAACAAGGGGCTGAGGAGATCAGCCCCCGCTTGAACGAGACACCTAGCTCTCTGTGCTGACAGTAAACTGGTTTAACAATGAAGCACTATTTCAACTAGTTCCGACCCATGTCTTAGCGTTCCTTCTCTCCTTCTGCTCCTTTCATCGTTTCATCATCTCTTCTCTACCACCCTGGCCCCCAGAAGCCACTGGTGGAAAAGAAAATCTGCAACCCCAGAATCTTCACAGTCAGGGCACGCTAAGGGTGTGGCCAGTTACATGAGTGTCAAGAGGGTGTAGTGAGTGAAGTTTGAAGGGGAAGTGTCCCCATACCCTTGGGCTCCTTGGTTAGAACTGAGCTCTTCAGTATCTGGGCTGTGGGGGCTGAGAAAATCAGAGACACCACTCACTTATTTTTCAGGATAAAAGGGCTTTGTTTTCGTGATGTGCTTTCCCTGGGCATCTCCAATCAGAGTTGTCCTTTAGTTCTACTTGTTCTCACTCATAGAATCTTGCTGTCTATGGTCAACAGAAATTAAGGGAATTCCCTGGTGGTTCAGTGGTTAGGACTCCACACTTTCACTCCCAAGGGCCCAGGTTCGATCTCTGGTCTGGGAACTGAGATTCCGCAAGCCACAAGGTGCAGCAAAGCAGAACAAACAAAAACCCTAAACAGAGATTAAAACTACAGCCTGGTTCCTCTGCCACTCTGAGGGGGATCAAGGGTACTCAGGCTGAAATGGCAACCGTGACGTGGAGGAACCCCAAGCTCGCACCATCCTCAGCACACTGGACAGCCCTGGCCTTGGCTTCCCAGACCACTTAGCCCCCCCAGTATTCTCTTACCCAGCCAGGCCTCCAAAGATGTCCTTGACATAGGAGTAGTCACCTCCAGATTTGGGGATGGTGACCCCGAGCTCAGCATAGCACAAGGCTCCCACAGCTGTGATGAGGCCTGTCACAATCCAGATGATGAGAGCCACGCCCACAGAGCCGGCATTCTCTAGCACACCTTTGGGTGAGACGAAGATTCCAGAGCCGATGATGTTCCCTGTGAAAAGCACCGAGAGTAGTGGGGAAAAAAGGGAGTCAGCACAGTTGGCAGGCCGCAGCACAGTGGAGGTGCTCTAGCCTTTGATCTGAGGCAAAATGCCTTTGGGGTGCACAAATCCCCTCCAGGTTAGCAGGTATATCTAGCAATAATTCTCCTTAGCAGGGGAAAGAGCAGCAGACAATGGACATGGAGATCAGGAACTTGTCAGGTATTTTACATGTGTCATGTAAGCGTCAGGAGAAGCGGATGGAGTCAGACATCATTTCTCCCATTTTACAGAGGAAAGTGCATTGCCTAAGTCTACACAGTAGTAAATGGTAGTGCAAACTGAACTTCCAGGGCGCTCTGACTGGGCCAAACGTAGTCTAACCAGGGTGGTGACAAATGCCTTACTTAAGGCTGGCTGGAAAAGGAAGAGCTATAAAATGTGCAATTAGAAAGCTTTAAAAATGAGCTGAAGGGTAAATACCTTTGGACAGACTGTGGTCATACCCTGTGTCTGGGGGTTTCCAAGACCCACAAGTATGGACAGCACTCCTGGAGGCTGGCCTCTACCCGACACAATAGCCCCACCCTTGGTGAAAAGCATGAAATAACCCTAAAAAAAAAAAGCTCTTGTAGTTTAGAAGTGGTTTGTCTGGACACAATACGTGCAAAGCCTTAGCTCTACATTCTTCCAAAGGTCATTCCCCTCCATTGTTTCATGTGCCTCTCACAACAACTTCACTGAATTCAGGAGGAGAAAGGGCAGGTGTTCTTATTACACAAACCAAGAGACTAAGACACAGAGGAGTTAAGTGGCTTTCTCCAAATTCCACAGCTACTGATGGGTAAAATTGGATCTAGAAGTCAGTCTCCTGAAGCTTAATCCAAGGGTTCTTTCCACTAATCCACATCGGTTCTGTGTATAAGGGACTGGCCTGCTCTCGACAGGTGAGGCTGGCCCCGGGGACTGAATGTTGGCTGCTGGGACGTGTGTTGGGGCAGGGGAGGAACAGGAGTGTGGGGGCAGCTCCGGGGACGTTTCTTCCCAAGCTCTCCTCCGTCAGTATCTTATGATTCCAGGGGTCAGGGTCCAAAGGTCGGGTGCTTTGAAAGCTCCCTCTTCCTCTTCATGCCCCACCCCGCTGCACCAATGAGGGCCTGGGGGGAAGAAGTAGACACTAAATGGATCCAAGTCAAAATGCAGAGCTGGAGTACTAGAGGCCAGTTGGATTTGACTGCTCTGAATTCCTACCATCTCTCTTTAGTGGTCTGGAACCAGTTCTGGGCTGATTGAGATGCAGACTATGGGATTTTATGCTCAAATTTAGAAAACGGACTTTTAGATCTCAATCACAGCTCAGCCTCATTCCAGTCCTGAAAACTTTCACTTCTAAACCAAAATTCAATTTTTAATTCCAGACTGTGCATCCAGGTTATTTTAGTCATAGAGAAAGAGAATATTCCCATCCTGAAAGCAGTAATATTTCATTCTTTGGGGATGTAGAATATGCTGCCACAAGCTAAAGAACTGCTCCTTGAGATGAGTAACAAGGGAGAGGAGGGGCCAGGAGAAGACTATCAGCAGCCGGGAGGCTGAAATACCAAACTGGAGAGCCTAGGGCCACAGCTAGATTGAAACGCAAAGGCGGCACATTACGACTCAAACAGGCCTTTTTCCTCCTGGTGTTAAGCCATCCGAACAGAATAGGGCTACGTAGAGAAGTGAAAATAAAAGAAGAAACAATCCCTCATGTTTAAATTTGTGATCTGAACATCAGGCAAAGAGAGAGACAAAAATGAAATCCTGGGTGCCCCCAGTTCTTAAAGGCGTTTCCTTTTTTTTTTTAAGTCCAAGACTTGGAATGAGAAGCTACCTCTCAACCCCCTTCTCAACTCATCCCCCATGTGTGCTATGCATGAATGCTGGGTCAGCAGAGACTAAAGGCCTCCTGGTAGCATCCTAGGACGGTCAGCGTCAAACGACCCTTCACCTGCCACAGTGAATGTGAGATGGGGTTGCTGATAGTGCTGCAAAGTAACAGTAAACTCCTTGCCTGGCAGGAATTTATCAGAAGAGTCATCTGTAGGGCGTTTTAAAGCCAGCCAAGAAGAGAGCAATAGAAGGTTATAAAACTAGCTCAAGGGATTGGAAAAATAATCAGTATGGGAGAAAAACAGGCTTTGACTTTGGTTTTTAAGATGCCAAAAGGGGTTGTGGGGCGATAGCCAGGAATTTCTCAGGACCAGGAAAAGGCTGTGGATGTTACTGAAAAGATCTCATTTTCTCAGTAATGAAGAGTGTCCAAATTCTACTTCAGGGTTCTTAGAAAACACCCCAGTGGAGATGCGTGAGCACTTTGGTTCTCCTGCTTTTGCTCTGACATTTCCAGAGCACGTGCCCCACCCCATCATCCCAGGTGGAGGGTGGGCGGTTCAAGACCAACAGCCCTTTCTGGGGGTCTGACTACTTCCCAGCTCCACTGGTTCTTGGATAATGTGTCCTTCCATGGAGCTGCTATAACAGATGGTGAGGCTTGGCACTGGGACAAGAGTTCTCCCCATCAACCATCTTGATTTTGACCAAATTAAAATGACAAAGATAAAAGTAGGGGAAATAAAAAAACAGAGACTTTCTTGGCTGTCCAGTGGTTAAGACTCCATGCTTCCACAGCAGGGGGTATGGGTTTGATCCCTGGTTGCTGCTGCTAAGTCACGTCAGTTGTGTCTGACTCTGTGCAACCCTATAGAAGGCAGCCCACCAGGCTCCCGCTCCTGGGATTCTCCGGGCAAGAACACTGGAGTGGGTTGCCATTTCCTTCTCCAATGCATGAAAGTAAAAAGTGAAAGTGAAGCCGCTCAGTCGTGTCCAACTCTTCGCGACGCCATGGACTGCAGCCTACCAGGCTCCTCCGTCCATGGGATTTCCCAGGCAAGAGTACTGGAGTGGGCCGCCAGTAGCTTCTCCGTGATCCCTGGTAGGGGAACTAAAAATCCCAAATGTCTCATAGCATGGCCAAAAAATGTTGGGGGCTTCCCTGGTGGCTCAGTGCTGAAAGAATACACCTGCCAATGAAGGAGACTCGGGTTCAATCTCTGATCCAGGAAGATCCCACATGCCTCTAAACCCGTGCACCACAGTTATCAAGCCTGTGCTCCAGAGCCTGGGAGCCGCAGCTACTGAGTCCGCATGCTGGAACTGAGTCCATGTGCTGAAGCTATTGAAGCCCACGTGCCCTAGAGCCCATGCCTCACTAGAGAAAAGCCCATGCAGCAACGAAGACCCAGCACAGTGAAAAATAAAATTTTTAAAAATAAATAAAAAGTGAAAAAAAAATTAAATTATGTTAACCAAAACCAAGAACTGGGGGATGGGAAGGAGAGGAACATCTTGCCCTGATTCTAGGAAGCCATTACCTAGAAAATCAGAATCAGATGTCTCTTCCTTAGCAGCCTCTGGAACGACTACAGGAAGACGAATGTCACTCAAAGCACAGCTATGTACTGGAGCCAAAAGAATACTCACACTACATTTACTTAAAAGTCATGCCTTTTATATACAATCTTTAGTGTAATTATTTGATTAATATATATCTTCCTCACTAGTCTGTAAGTTCCATGAGGCAGACACTGTATTGTTTACACTGTATTGTTTAATGTCACAAAGTATTAATAAGTACTCTATAAGTATTTATTGAATAAATAATGTTTGATGTCAATCTACAGCTTACCTCCATGGATCAGTTTAATACACCTGTTTATCTGGAACCTCCAAAACCTGTGAAATATGTCAAGTGTGTATTGTAGGCAAATCAGTAAAGCAACCCATTGCTGAGAGTAGACTGGCTGGTATTACCATCTCTACTTTATGGGGAAAGAAACTAGGGCAACCATTATTCTCATTTTTCCAAATGGAGAAAATGAAGGAGGTATTATTTTCCCTATTTTACAGATGAAGAACCTGAGATGCAGAGAGGTGGTTATTTGCTTAAATCACAGGGTAAATTAGCAGTCACAGTCATAGCCTCAAGCTTTTCCCTAAAAATTGTCAGTTTTACATGCTCCACCCTATAGACAATGAGAAAGGTTCATAGAAGTTGCTTATTAAAGAACTGGAACACAGAGCTGATTCTTTCCTTCTATTGCAATACCACCTTCAGCGATGAGTTACAAAAGATTCATGCCTATTAACTTACTTGATTCTCACAACTACTTTCTTGGGTGCACAGGTCAGGCACTCTCATCCCTATTTACTATTGTGAAGAATGAGGTTCAGAGAGGCAAAGAGCCATGATCAAAGTCACATATTGCATTAGGTAGCAAGGCCTGGATGAGAGGCCATGTCCTTGGACTCCTGGCCCAGAGCTTCTTCCTACTGAGCTGCCTCGCCTTGAGAAATTACCCAACACATACCTTAACTGCAGGGCTTTTATACTGTCCAAGTGAGGCTTTTCTGGAATGGCTTTGAAAAAGGAGAACAGGGGAAAGGCTTTTCTACATCTGACTATGAACCTTTCTTGATGAGAGGTTGGAAGAAAGTTGATTACAGCAGGAATTTTTTTCTCCATTGTTTTACTCTTAGACTCATCATCTACAAAGCCACTTAAGAACAAGATGCCTGGAGAAGGAAATGGCAACCCACTCTGGTATTCTTGCCTGGAAATCCCATGGACAGAGGAGCCTGGCAGGCTATAGTCCATGGGGTTTCAAAAGAGTTGGACACGACTTAGCCACTAAACAACCACCATCCATCCATAGTCCATCCATAGTTAGAGGTAATTTGTGTTACTCTTTTGGAGTGATGCTAAATAACCTGTTTGTTAACATGTGAATTCAAAGCACTAACTGATTTGCTCTTGGAGCATCTGAAGCTTCCAGTCTGAGGAATTTCAGGTTTCTCTAGGAAGAGGCATGAAGTCAAGTCAAGAAGTCCCCCAAGGGCCAAGGTCAGAGGGGTCAGAACCACGAGAGAGGGATCCTTGAGCAGATGCCCAGGATGGAGACAGAGCCAAAGG